ATCAACGCGTGCTGTCAAGACTCTATATGTGTCGCCTAAATTTCACTATGAATAGAATCTGTAGCATACTTATCTTTGGTGTGCATTAATGGGAATGCAAAGTGGAATTATCTTCTTTTGTTTATTATAAAATGTATTAATAAAATATCTAATTGTAATCCTGCATAAACCCAATATTACTAAATGCAACTGTAATCTGATTCCATCTTTTTTTCTGTAACTGTAATGGATAACAGTCTACAGCCTGGTAGACAGTAGAACATGGGCATGAGTCTGTGGAGTAAATGGGTATGCTGAGACCTTAAAACAGACTATGGCTACAAGCCTGTGGGCTAGCAGGTATGTGCCTGCCTGCTTTTCTCTCTTACTGTCTCTGTTTTATGTCTTTCTCATCATCTTTTTTATTTTCCCAGTGTCAGTGTCCATTTCCCCCAGTTTTATGTTTAATACATTGCAGGGCTGTGAGATGTGGTTCCTGCAGGGCATTCAAAGATAACATGATTTTTTGCTTATTTTTCTGCACTCACCCCAAATAGCCGGCTTGTCAACTAGATATTAGTTGTTCTAGCTTTCCCAACAACTCTTCTGCCATTTCTCTAAGAATTAATGAAGTAAAGCGACCACAGAAGGCAAATTATTTTTGATCCAAAGTCAGCACCAGATGCGGCATGTGACAAATGGTCCTAACATACAGTAACCACATTATAAGATAATGATGTCAAAATGTCCTATCCTAAACTGCATTCTCTGTGTCACTCCCACACACACACACACACACACACCCACACACATGCAAGCACACACAACGGCAGTAGAGTCCTCGAACTGACAAGCACATCTTCCTGTTAAAACCACAGTTTATTTTTAACATTAGGTGAGATAAAAGGCAATTGACATCTAAAACAGTTAAACAGGCCCACCCAAACTGTCTTAAACTTATGAGATATTATTTTAATTTAATTTATGGCTATAATATAACCATGATAAAGCACTCCAAGGTGTCCTGATAGAGAAATAACAGACTATGTGGAAATCCATTTAGTCAGATCCAGTTCTGTATATGAGAACCAGGTAGCACAGAGCCGTATTTCACATATACCACACATACAGTGTTATAACACTGTCTGCTCTGATCTGGTCTACTCTGACCGCAATCATACTGAATGCAATTTAAGCAGTGAGGCCACTCCTTTTGAGTTGATTCCAATGGGTTTGAAGCATTGGAAGACTGCTCATGAGAAGTTGCTTCAGAGGCATTTCATATGACAGAACATGGTGTTTTTTTCGTGATATAAACAGAAAACATCAAGTATGAATGGGACAGTTGTAGGTGTTTAAATTTTCTTTCTTTCTTTACTGCATCTGATCAAATGTAACCTGCTGTCAAACAAGTGACTGATCATTGCATGTTACCTCAACAAGTCCCATGTCACTGCAAACCAAAAGCATGATATCCAATGTGATCGGCAACTTGATCAGCAGTTGAAGAAGAAGTAGTAGTCTGACCACAGAGATCATCTTTCTTAAAATAGAAAGAAATGATGCAGACTTGATGCAGTGGTTGTACTGAGAGGCTCCATGACCAAGCACCTATAAGTGTATACATGTAAAGAGCACTTAGGTGATAAAATAAATCTTTGTAACTTTTTGTTGTAACAGGTAGGACTCTTGCTTGAATCATTTGCCTGTTCACATGGCTTTTAAGTAAATTTCATTTCTGCCACAGATGCTTACAAAATGTGACTTTTACCTGCATGAATGTGGAAACAATCTAAACGTTGGGAGGAAGAATGGGTGGAATGCAGGTCCTTAGACGAGGGGGAGGAGAGATCGTGCTTTCAGTAATCACAACACAGATGGTTCAAGGACCCTTTCTTTTGACGGATGTCAGAGCTCATGTAGGGAAACATATAACCGTCATCTTCATGGGGGACGTTAGGTCTCTGCGGTGGGAGTTTTGTTCAGCTTGAACAAGAAGGTTAGAAGTCAGAAGCTTAAACTCATCACTTCAAATTTTCACATTCTGAAAGTGTGGACTAACTTTCAGATGATTTTTGTAATCTTGTTTAATTTATCAGTCAGAACTAAAAGGACTAATAGCCTGCCTGCCTCTCTGGTTACTGAGGAAACCACCAAGCCTCTGAGAACTATCCTGTCTTCATATTTGGAGTGCTGGTGTGTCATATCCAGGGTGACACAGTATGTTTATCCATTGAAAAGATACTGAAAGCCTAAAAAGGTCTTAAGATATAACAGTTTGGAAGACAGTAAAGTCATGCCGTACGTGACGTAAAGTATAGTTTATTAAAACTAAAAGAAGGTGAGCCTTTATCACTTAAGACTGTTATCTCTTATAGACAACCATCGTCTCCTCCAGCAATCTCTTTGCTTTTCTCCAAACAGAGATGAAAAGAGATGACAGGAAGACAGCAAAGCAATCTCTCACTTATCTCCTCATTTCAAAACCTTCTGCACTAGCCTTGATTGTGGTAAAATGCTGCATACGTATGTGTCACTAACAAGGTTTGGGGGAGTGGGGTTTTTTCGGAATGGAAGTTAATTTGTCTTTAATCACATCTTTTGGTGTTTATAATGTGCAGTTACACATTTGCTAGAGTGTTTTTAATAAACTGGTTAAATATCTACAAGCATGGCCTTGGTTCAATAAACCATAGGTCAGAACAGCAAGTGGGCTGCAGCCCTACGTCTGAGGAATTTCACAATAAGAAGTAATAATATTTTTTCATGTCCAAAGTGGAAAGGTTAAATGTCTTAGTTAATAGCAGAAGGCTGAAGACCCTGTGCTCTACCTCCAGCTGTAGCTGCTGCACGTGTCGCAGCCTACAGTCAGTATAAATGAGATTCCATAGAGGGTCATGTAGTTAGAAGAAAATGGGCCCTAAAATAAAGTGTTCAAACGTTTCCATGTTTCAACCAGGCAAAAAACTGTTTATTGCAAAAGCATTACGTCGGCAGTTGCAACAACAAAGGCTGTAAGAAAACATTAGAGAATGTGGACTGAATAATTAAAACAGCTTGAAAGCCACAGACCTAATCTATCTGCAGTGTAAACACTTCTCACACTTCACTATAGCATAAAAGACCCCCTGAGGTTTGTGCCAGTGGGCGGTAGGTAAACAGTGTTCTTTCTATCTCCCCTGAATACACAAATAAACACACACACACACACAGACACACCATTTGAGCCCCAGATCAGTATTAATTAGGTAACATCAAAAGGGATAGCGTAAAGGGAACATTTGGCTTTTCACACTAGACCTTTACCACTATAGTTACAAAAAAGTGACGAATTAGAAACTTTGATATGTTGTCACGTACCATGGGTGCATGTGGAAATGTAGGTGGAAATTTCTCCTACGGGGATCAATAAAGGTACATCTTATCTTAAGTGAAAAGAAAAAGCTATGGGCTCACCAAAGACGTGGAGATAATGACTACCCAGAGCAGATTACACAGTGATCCGGCTGTTTGTTTTTTGTAAACAAAGACAACAATTTGTCTTAAAGGTGGCGTTAAAGGAGGGGTCATGTAAAGACCAAAATTTAGGTTTAGTTGGGGATAAATAAAGGAAACTCAATTATGTGTTATTTTTTTAACAGTACATTTTGGCTTGGTGATGGCACTAGAGGGAAATTTAACCAAAAGCATTCCAACTCAACCTGTGGAGGTGACAAATACAGCAAATATTTTAGCAATCAGGTTATTTGTTCTAACAGACTAAAATGTTGGTCAACTGAAGATTTTGATCTGACCTGTGCTGAGTGAGACGTTAGTGTCTCCAGAGAGATTAGAATTTCTCCCCTGGGGACACGAATACCAAGTTTCACAACAGCCTTATTGAGATATTCAGCTTTGGGCCAACATGTTATAAAGCATAAGAGCATCACTTGTTGGGCACAAAAGAAAAATGTAAGATATTGCTAAACAAGACTGTCGCAATTTCACTTGCACCATGAACTTTGCAGGAATATGTATGGTGATTGCACATTTCTGCAAATTATAGACTTCACTCATAATCCTTCTCATATGCACCTTTCAGCTCAATGAAAAATCTGATATTTGCATGATTTATCCCGCTATACTCACTCATTAGAGAACAGAAAGCAGCTGACCAGAACCTGAACTAGAATCAAGTATCCCATATGCAGGAATTATAATTAATGTATCTATATTTTGATAGCTTTGCCAGTGTGTCACATCTTTAACAGAATTCTGCGAAAAGTGCAGTAAGTTCCAAGATATTGTTGTTGTATTTCAAGGCCTGAGTCCAGGGCACAGCACGGTGTATTGACTCCTGCCGGTAGTAGACAACATCAAGGCGCATACTTTGGGAAGATGCCAACACCACAAGAAATGTTTGAGGACTATCAATATGCTGCTGGCCTGGTCATCATGTTTTAGCAGTTACACCAAGCCAGTGCTGACACAGACATCCCCAGTATTTCCTGCTGCATGACAGCTAACTAACGTTACAACGCAGAGTTTCAATGAAGAAACCCAAAGGAAAACTGCAAACGCGCTCTCTGACTGCAGATCAGCGTGGAAAATCAGCACAGATGTCAAACTTTTACTCCCAGATCCAACGCAAGCATGCATTGTGTTTTTTTTCCCTCCGCTCACTCCCTTCCACAAGTATTGTCCCAATCCCAGAGTTTGATAAAGAGCACAACTCTGGCGCAATAAGTCCGTCATTCCAGCCGCGTCCCTCGTCCTCAACCCTTATAGGCGCACAACCGAGCGTCCTATCGAAATAACGGTGCGCACAGCGGATTCAGGCATCTGCTAATGCCATCAAAGCCTTTATCTGACCCGAACGCTTTCTAGCCACGTCTACGTGGCAGGTAGCTATACTTTGATTGCATAAAGATGCCCACATCGTGTAGAAGACGCGCTTTAGTAAGCCAAATAAAACTGTTTTTTTATATATATATATTTATAAGGATTCATTCAATAAGCAGGGCAAGAAATGAAATACTCACAGTGTCTTTTTTCCAGTGAAAGCAGAAGGTAGGTAGTTTAGGTTACTCCCTGACCGGTTCCTGGATGTCCAACTCAAGTTTGATTCGGGGTGCCTGAAATTCCTCCAACAGACAACTCCTAGAGACGCTTGCCTGCGCAACTCTGGTGTCAAAGTCGCAGCGTTGTGATACAAGACTCCAAATCCAATATACAGCCAGGTAACCCTTTCATTTTATGTCCGTGCAGAAAAGCAATAGCTCCTTTGATTTTTCCCCCCACAAGTGTTTCAGAAGTTGTTTTATTTAATTCTTTTCCCAGATAAAGTCGCCTTGATGCTCTCTGCTGCGTCTCCGTGCCTCTCTGCGCTGGCGCGGCTGCTCCACCAAACTCTCTCTCTCTCTCTCTGTCTCTGTCTCTCTCTCTCTTTCTAACCGACCGACTGCCACACACACTCTGCAGGAGAGGACCTTTGTCTGCACATGACGTCACTCACACACACAGACACACACAAACACACTGCAAAAAAAAAGAAGCCAATTTGACAAAAGAGTGACATTGAAAGTTGCTGGACATCATATTTTGCTTATAAAAAAACATTTTTTACACTGCATAATCAATAAAACAGGAAGATTTTCTTAAGTGCATTATCTTGTAACTGCTTTACACTTCAAACCGAAGACAGGTGAAACATCATCAGTAACAAGTGCATTGAATTCACCCAATTGGCACTTTCCCACTAATCTTATGAAAAAAATGTAATTTTATGATGTAAATGTCCTGTTACCAAAGACATTTCTTGTAGTGTTCACAGATGAGAGTTGTTCCTTTTCCCTCTGCGCCTAATTGGAAACACATTTTTTTTCAGTAACTTGTTAAGAGAGAGACAGGAAGACAGAAAGGGGTGGAGTGAAGCAGAGAGAAAAAGAGAGCGTGAGACTGACACTGAGGGACTCAAAGACATATTGTATTCCTTACCAATTAACCTTAATGTATTGGAAATATTTCCTCCTGTCTGCGGGTGCTGGTGTCCAAGTGAAGTTTAAAACCTTCTCATTTGAAGTTCTCAGCCTATGAGAAAGTATTTGGTAGGGACAGTCCTGACTGCCAACTTTACACCATCTGTGAACACTTAGTGAGGTGTTTGTAGTAAACCAACCACCGCGGCTGTGGAATGAATTGAAGTGCTAAAGCCATGATACATTCAAGAATATAACATGTCTTATTTGTCTCATAAAGTTGAATATGTCTTTTACACTGTTTTTAAGGACCAATTTTCAAGCAATGCACAATGTAGCCCTTATGTGCTCAAGATATTAACCATACACCAACATTCATACATCATTCAGGGCAGGGTCAACAAGCAGACACCGACTTTTAAAGCTAGAATGAGTCTGCATGATATTAGCCCAAAAAAGGCCAGGCTGGGTGTAGGGTCAGACCCTAACAATTGATTGTTTTATCCCAAGTAGAGCTGAGGTAATTAGTTGATTAGTCATTTGAAAAAAAAAATACAAAGCAAGTATTTTTATAATTAATTATATTTAAATAAAAACACAAACATTCCTCACTTTCAGCTCCTAAATGTACTGCTTTTCTTTGTCTTGTGTATCTTTAGGTCTCTTACATGTTGGTCAGACAAAACAAGACAATTGACGTCATGTTGGGCCTTAAGAAATTCTGACAGACATTTAAGAACACAACTATTAATCCAATGATAAACAGATTCATTGAAAAAAGATTCTGCAGATTAATCGTCAATGTAGAGTGTTAAAGCAGTTATCCATTCAGCACTCATGAAAAACTGACAGAAAGCCAAGCATGTCTCATTTTTCTGACTTTTATTTTGTCTGTTTGTTTGTTTATCTGGTTGCTAACATTCCTGATCCTGGAAGTCATGCCCTACTCCTGCCTAGTCACCTTGGCAGTCATGCAGGTCATGAAAAACATCCAAAATAAATGACAAAAAAAGTATTTTGGCATTATGCTCAACTTGTCAGTGCCTCTGTTAAAAATTACTAAAAATGATTAAAAATAACCCTTTTTTATCTACCAATCCAATAAACAAGGTTTTCTTAGGTTTAGGCACAAAAACTCCCTGGTTAAATGAGCGAAGAATTTTAGTTTAGAACATAAAAATACCTAAAATTATCAACAAAATGTAAGGAAATAGCAGTTTTAGTCTATGCATTATTGTGTTGCAGAGATATCTACTGAAGTTAGCATGTGAATCAACCAACCCTGGCCCATCCTGCCACGTAATACCACTTTGTACCTCAAGAGGCGATAGTATTGTTGATTGTATGTCATTTTAGGCAAGCTCCCAAAATAGTCAGCGAGTGTAAAATAAGGGCCAAAACCATGTAGTGTAAACTCAGCTTAAATTAGCTATTTGTTGGAAGAAAGAAAGACCATGTTTCTCACTCTTGACTCAACAACTTTCTGGTGATATGCAGGCCCCACATTGCTTGGAGTATGAATTCGCAAATTCTTACATATACCGCATTTAAGGTTAGGGAAAGACTGTTGTTAACAGAACCAACACTGGCTATTGGTAGAACATGGGATGCAAAATGTGGTCTTCCACGTCAACGGCACATGCACATCCACTTTGTCCTCCTCGAAAAGAGGTTTTGCCAACCTTTTGCTCCTGACAGACAAGAGTCATAATTCACATGGACACTAAAGGTCCTTGTCAGGTAAATGTGAACATTAGCTTTGCTTTATCCATTTAACATGGACCAATGCTGTCATTGTTCCTGTGAGGACAATTTGGTTGGTCATTCAGTGTCTTGGTCAAGTGACAGCAGGAATATAAAGCACAATGATAAATTGACCATGACAAAAGATGTAAATGTTGTGCCTGATCCCATGAAATCTAAAATCTCTCATGTCTCTGTTTCAACTACAGACTTCAGCATGACCTCAGTATTTTGTTTCTCTGCCACCCACATTGATTTTCATAGCTATTGGTGCCCATATATTCTTGTGGTTCCTCTTTTCCCCTTAAAATGGAGAGCACAAAAAAAGGAAAAGCAGAACATGCTAAATTACTTACTTAGAATGACATGTTGACATGTATACAGTATCTTGTAATGCCTGACATAGTTGAGGACAGGAAAGGAATGAGTGAACCCACACAGCACCCATCAATGGGGAAATCTGTTTGCCTTTAGTGATTTGTCAAAATACTTGTATGACCGCTACGCTACATTTGTGCTCTTGTTGTGATAGAAGCTCCTCTATTTCACACAAGCCTAACAGACCAAATTTAAACCGTGGTGTCCCACAATGGAAAGCAAACATCTACAAGTTGGCCAAAGGAGAATCCCACCTACTGTACAAGAAGGGGGGCTCACATGGCTGCAGGCAGATGTATGCTGTTTTTATGTCATGCTCACAAGCTGTTGCTTTTGGAGATGGGGCCGTTGTTTATTCTGCAACTGCTACCAAAACAAGCAAGATAAAACTAATTTTCAGTCACAGCAACCATATTAAAAGTTAATGTATCTAACTATCTTTATGATATAAAGTGCACTTCCATTTCTTACATCTTCTTCTTTTGCCTTTCCTCATTTTATGATGAGCAAACTTCCTTGTAGAAGTTCACTGTGGATTATCAGGTTTGAGACAAGGTTGCTCCTCTGCACAACAGGAGGTGGGACACAGAGAAATGTATTTTATATTTTCACACACTCATTGCAAGTTAATCTTTAGAAGTGAATGTAAAAGATCCTTATGATGTCAAAATAGGAGATATAGGTGATTGCTGATAGGTGAGTGTTAATCAGCGTCTTTGGTCTGGCAATGACACTTTTTAAAGTCTAGTCACCCTGCACCTCAGAATATCTGTGTGCAAGAAGTAAAAGCTCAAGGGGTTGTCATCTAGGTCCTTGCATGTGGTTCCTGTCACTATTTTAGCATGGGTGAGGTTTGGACTGGGCTGTGTCCTGAAAAGTATCTCTTATGATGTGGGTCAAATATTGTAGTATTTACTGCTGTGCAAGCCAATTAGACGCTTTTCCCTCTTAATCTTCACCTGAATCACGTTCTTCTGAATTTTCTTTCCTCAGAATAATATCTTTAATGTTCTTCTTGTTTCCATGTTTCTCCACCAGTGCACTGGTTTTTATATCTACACTTGTAAATAAAACAAAACTTTGGTGGCTTTGATTTCTGTTCCTCCTGGCAGGGGGCAGCGGATGGATGACAGTAATTCAGTGCTTCACACTTTATAAGTCTCAAAAGCAATGCTTAGAGATCATTGCATTTGTGATAGTTAATCATGAATTATGACATCCTTAACTAGTGCTGGCCACATTACCCCATCAGTAACACTAAACCCTACACATTGCAGGGTGAACACACTAGGCTTTATATTCTTATTTGGACCCGCTTTGCTAAATGTGTACTTTGGATTTGTTGTCATATCACCTCAATAAGAAAATGTGTCTACTTAAGACACACACATAGTCACCAGGTAGTTTACTAAGCATAATCCTCAAGGATTGTTTTTAATGTGTCACAGTCTTGAGCACCATCTGGTAGCATTTACTGAGGTGTTTGTAGTAAACAAACACATAATTGTAGGAATGGAATGGAAGAGCAGAAAACACAAAACTGTGTATGTCTCAAAAACTTCTCCCTTGCAAGTACATCCTGTAATCACATCAATCATTTATCACTTCTGTCATGCTGTCTCAGTTCTATCATGGCTTATATTTTGAGCACAAGTCCTGTTTTTCCCTCTGCTGGGCTGTCACACAGTTTTCCTGCACCATACCATCAAATAATTTGGAGAAAATGAATGGTGCTAAAGGCAGCATACCTACATAATGAAAAGTTTGTTCTCAATACAAAAGTCATTTCATTTTTGAACATTTAGAGGCAGAAAGAATCATACAATCAGAGGATTGAATTAGACAGAATGAAAAAGTTAAGGGGTTTGGATACATGAAAGCAGAGAAAAGGACATGGAATCAGAGAAGAGTTAAATTTCAGTAGTGGTGCCAGAGAGTGAAAGAGATCAAGGGGTTAGGTAGGGTGAAATAGAGGAAATGGAAGAAAAAAGTAAAAGGGGGGGAGAGAGAAAAGGCTACATAAACAGCCCAGGGGCAGAGAGATGAATTACACACAAAGTAAACAAAAGTAATAGGTAGAGGCATGAAAAGAGGTGATTATGAGCTATCACTGATTGAGATACAATAAGCTTGCATATAGAAAGCCACCATATGAAAACAAGTGGTAGAATTGAAGAATAATGAGACAGTCTTTCAAAGAAGGTACCAGACAGAAAATAAATGCCAGGCGGGCACTATGAAAAAAAGAGCAGATGGAAAGAAGGACAGAACATGTTGCCACTGTCATCATCTCTAATGTAGGAACAGTTTATGATCTCACGCATTTCAAATTAGGCTTTATTGAGCAACACACAG